TACAACAGTTTGCATATGTGCCTCCCACTTGTTAAGGGACCAAAAGTAATGGGACAATTGGCTTCTCAGTTGTTCCATGGCCAGGTGTGTGTTATTCCCTCATTATCCCAATTACAATGAGCAGATAAAAGGTCCAGAGTTAATTTCAAGTGTGCTATTTGCATTTGGAATCTGTTGCTGTCAACTCTCAAGATGAGATCCAAAGAGCTGTTACCATCAGTGAAGCAAGCCATCATTAGGCTGAAAAAACAAAACAAACCCATCAGAGAGATAGCAAAAACATTAGGCGTGGCCAAAACAACTGTTTGGAACATTCTTAAAAAGAAGGAACGCACCAGTGAGCTCAGCAACACCAAAAGACCTGGAAGACCACGGAAAACAACTGTGGTGGATGACAGAAGAATTCTTTCCCTGGTGAAGAAAACACCCTTCACAACAGTTGGCCAGATCAAGAACACTCTCCAGGAGGTAGGCGTATGTGTGTCAAAGTCAACAATCAAGAGAAGACTTCACCAGAGTGAATACAGAGGGTTCACCACAAGATGTAAACCATTGGTGAGCCTCAAAACAGGAAGGCCAGAGTTTGCCAAACGACATCTAAAAAAGCCTTCACAGTTCTGGAACAACATCCTATGGACAGATGAGACCAAGATCAACTTGTACCAGAGTGATGGGAAGAGAAGAGTATGGAGAAGGAAAGGAACTGCTCATGATCATAAGCATACCACCTCATCAGTGAAGCATGGTGGTGGTAGTGTCATGGGGTGGACATGTATGGCTGCCAATGGAACTGCTTCTCTTGTATTTATTGATGATGTGACTGCTGACAAAAGCAGCAGGATGAATTCTGAAGTGTTTCGGGCAATATTATCTGCTCATATTCAGCCAAATGCTTCAGAACTCATTGGACACCGCTTCACAGTGCAGATGGACAATGATCCAAAGCATACTGCAAAAGCAACCAAAGAGTTTTTAAGGGAAAGAAGTGGAATATTATGCAATGGCCAAGTCAATCACCTGACCTGAATCCGATTGAGCATGCATTTCACTTGCTGAAGACAAAACTGAAGGGAAAATGCCCCAAGAACAAGCAGGAACTGAAGACAGTTGCAGTAGAGGCCTGGCAGAGCATCACCAGGGATGAAACCCAGCGTCTGGTGATGTCTATGCGTTCCAGACTTCAGGCTGTAATTGACTGCAAAGGATTTGCAACCAAGTATTAAAAAGTGAAAGTTTGATTTATGATTATTATTCTGTCCCATTATTTTTGGTCCCTTAACAAGTGGGAGGCACATATGCAAACTGTTGTAATTCCTACACGTTTTGATTTGGATGTAAATACCCTCAAATTAAAGCTGACAGTCTGCAGTTAAAGCACATCTTGGTCATTTCATTTCAAATCCATTGTGGTGGTGTATATAGAGCCAAAAATGTTAGAATTGTGTAGATGTCCCAATATTTATGGACCTGACTGTAGCTGTTAGAATGCATTTACGGACAAACACTCTAGAGTTCTGCATGTTTCTGCCCATACACGTCTAGAGTTCTACATGTTTCTGCCCATACACTAGTGATGTTTTTTATTTCTGCTTCCTCTTCTAAAATGCTTGTAAACACCTATGTGTGCATGGACACATAGGCTAACATAGTGGTGCATTTACAGGCAGAAAAGCCACTGAGGTCAAAGCTACAGGTTTGCTGTAATCCCCCCCATCCTATTCTTTATATACTCACCTTTCCTTCACTCAACTGCTCTGTTCAGTACTGGGAACTAAAGGAAATTCCTAGTGCTTCTGGGTCTAAGGGAGCATACAGTCTAGCCATGCCACAATGCTAGACTTAGCTGCCCTGTCAATTGAGGATGTTATAATCCCATGTAAACTACAATTCTGGCAACTCATAGCTTACACAGGTATTTTTTTTCTCTCCCAGAGAGCAGTGGGCGAGCAAAAGGAAATTATGTACTGCCAGGGATGTCTAATTTAGTGCCAGTTCACATATGTGCGGATTGGATGCGGTTTGACGTGGATCCAACCTGAATGACATGTGAAATAAATATTGTTTCCTATGGTGCCTGTTCACATATGTCCAGTGCACTGGTGGTGCGGATTCAGTACGGATTCACTGCGGTTTGAAAAAGAGTCATGTATGATTTCTGAGCAGTGCGGTTCAGTTCAGGTGTGGATTACAGGCTATTGACTTCTATGGGAACTGTTTCTAAACTCCTATTGAAGTTTATTGGAGCCAAAATGCATTCTTCCCATGCCCCATAAGCTCATGTACTTTTTTGGGATTCAGTTTGAAATGACATTTAGGTGTGAATGGACACTATTGAATATAATGGAAATCCTAGTATCAGGCATTAAGGTGCTTCTAGTAAAGCTTCAAATCCCACTTCAGAATGCTCAGGTATGAACAGGCCCTTAAAATGAACCTGGCTGGGTAGCATAAAGTGTAATCTAGCAAAAATGTTTGTAGTTATTTTGAATAGAGGGCAAGATATAAAACCTCTTCCAGGTTCCTATTGATGTCTGTGTCCTTGCTGACTAGAATTTCCTTCACCCAAGTGATAGTGGTCACTAAACCAGTAACTTAGTGGAAACATCTCCTATGGGGACAAAGGCAGCAACAAAGTGGAATGGGGTTAGAACCTCTCTCTTTGTGCCTGTCTGTATCATCTTTTGGGAACATTCTTTTTTTTTACCTCCTGCCCCACAGTGGTCACTTTGACAGGAAACAGAATGCAGGAATAACATGACAGACATTCTAAACCCTTCCCCACTAAAGTCCAAAAGCAAAAATAAAAAGAGACCCACAAAATTAGTAATACTTAGGTCACTGCTTAGATCAATACTTAGGTCACTGACCTAATTTAACCATGTAACCAAATTAGGTCAATGGTGTCCCAACATCCCCACCCGTTTGTATACATGCAGCTTCAGTGCATAGATTCTCCAGCCCATGGCCCATTGCCCCAGCAATGACAACTAAATTCTGTGTTCAAACTGAACCCAAGCTCATCCTTAGTCCTGTTATCACACAGAAATTCCAATGGAAGAAGGCCTGTTTGGTCTAATGAGCAAATCTCCAAAGAAAGTAGAATATGTTAGCCTCTCATTTAAAACATGATATATTGCTGCATACTCATTAAATAGTTCTTTCCACTTGAAGCTAATAATGGGGTTTCAGAGATGTGCACGATGGGAAAAATGTGTTTTGTTTCAGTTTTATTTGTTAAGTAAATAATTTCCTAATAGTCGTTATGTTAGAGGGATTTGTGTAGCACCCTAGTAGTACACCCTAGTAGTACCTGTGTAGTAGTTTATCTAGGGGGAGCTAGATCCTAATGGTTAGACAGGAGCTGGTTAGCATCTCAAATGTAATAGCCAGAAGGGTCAAATTGTGATCAGGGCTGAAAGACTCTGCGGGCCAGCCCCTCTGGAATTTCCTCCCTCCTCTGAGGTTTTTGGTGGTGAGCCTTGGTGACAGTGGGTGGAGCTGAGGAATGGCTGGCTGCACTCTTGAGGGACCTCAGCCAATCCCCAGCAGAAAGCTTGTGAAGGGCTGGGACTCCCTTAAAAGTGTAGGAGCCTGCTCAGTAGAGGAGCGGAAGAGATTCGGGTAGAAGAGTGAGAGAGGAAGATTTAAGGCTGTGACAAGGGAGGCTGCCAGGAGGCCTAGTGGGATGGGGCCTGCCTGTGAGCTTAGAGCTGGAGAGGCAGAAAACTCGGAGCTCACTGGCCACTGAGTGAGAACTACCTTTATGGCAGGGACGGAGCAGCCCAGCTAATAGGCCTGGTAGCAGCAGCCAACCTGCAAGCGGTGCAAGAGAAGATCTGAGTGAGTACACCTGCACCCCCCCTGGGTGGATAGAGGAAGGAGCACTCTGGTGGGAAACCAGATTATCCCCCTACTAGTGACTGTTCTGCTATTCAAAGGGACAGGAGTCAGATCCCCTGCTCAGGAAAAGTCTCCATATTGCTGGGTGAAGAGGAATTAATCTAGGGTCTGGGATGGTACAAGAAGGAAACACTGGCTAGCTCTCCAACAGAGACTTTGTTGCAGAAGAAAAGCTTGTGACTAGTTCCAGGAAGTTTGTACTCAGATATCGGTTACCTTGGGCATCCTATACCCCCTTAACCTTCTCTCAGTTCTAAATCCCCTCAATAAACAACAAAACAAAAGCTCAAAGACTGGTTTCTGACTCTGAAGCAAGCTTGTGTGGAAAATGCTGAATGCCTGGCTGTGCCGGACTATAGGGAGACCCAAATCAACAGCAACCCCAAGGGGGTAGTGCAGCATTTATTTTCTGAATGATTTGTTATTTTGGGAGAGTATATATATTTGTAGTTCTGAATCAATTTGTATTTTCGGAAGTTATGTTCTTTTTCTGTTATTTTGGAAGATTGGCTGTGCTTATATGGGTATATTGGCTGTTGATATAAGTTCATTTCTCATTCTCCATTCCCAACTGACTTAGTTTGTTGGGCCGTGCACATGTAAATTAAACAAACGGTCTGTTAAGTTCAAGCCCAATACAAAAAAATATCTTATTAGAATATTCACGCTATGCTCACTAGAATAGGAACAAATGGATCTGAATCAGTGTGGATCATTTGTTATGTCATTACATTATTTTGGATGCTTCAAACATTAACAAAAGGTTCAAGTGATCACATCATGTCATCCAGATGAAGCAAATGAATGTGAATTAATTTGTTGTTTCATTATAATTTATTTCGTATTATTTGATATTTGTTATTATTGTGATTCGGAGATTCAGATACATCCTAATCTCTGAATCACAAATTTTATCCAAATTTTGATTCGTAACGAAAGAAATTGCAGACTTCTAGTAGGGTTTATTCATCAGCTGTTTAGCTTACGCTAATATGAGAAATTAATACTATTCTTTCAGGTTTTGAGTATCTCTTGATAGACAGGTAAGAAGCACGGTGAATACATTCAGTAAGTTTTGATGTGATTCTTTTCTTTGCTAGGTGTTGTTGTCTTTCCACATGGAGAAGACAGAAAATCAATCCCACTTTACCTGGAGGCAAATACTAGTGGGCCTGAGGGCTTTGGATTACAGCTGATTGGTCTCAGTAGCAGTGTGCCCAGTGGTGCCCGTCTAAAGTAAGAGCAGCATTTGTTCATTCTGATGTAGTTTCTTCCGTACTGCATTAAAATGTTCATTCAGATCTTATTTCTCTGATATTGTTTTAGAATTTTGTCGTACAAATTAGAGGATAAAGATTATCTGCAGCATTTCATATTCTGTATTTCCTGAAAGGGAAACTGGAAAAAACTTGAAGAACAACTACAGGCATACTACATAATAAAAATGACTTGTTGGGCAACTAATAATATTTTGTTCTACAATGTTTTTTCTCTCTGTTACTTCTAATGACATTCAATTCATTGTCTTAATCAGCAAGCAGCCTCATTCCTTCGCATTCACATCATTGACCTCAGGCTGTGATGGCGGCAGGTTGTACTGAAGTGTTTGCATAGACAGACAGATGCACTGGCTGTCAGGCTTGCCCCCCCCCCATAGTAACTACTCTAATTAAGTCTATTAAGCTTGTTAACCTCTAAAACCTTATGGTAATATATATATAAAACGAATCACAAAATGAGCTGAATGGCTCCAAATAATTTTAAAGATATCACTAGTATATGGATGCATCAATATTGTTAAATGATATTTGGATTGTCTGATTGAATATATTACACAATAACTCTATTTGTAAATGCATAGGTGCTTACAGTATAGACTACTACAAGCAGTAATATCATTTTGTTACTGCAGTGAAAAAGAAATGTGATATTTGACAGCCTAAAGAAGTGGCCTCATTTACACTTAAAATTACTAAAAGCGGTGAAGCGCTAAACAATAAATAATAAATATAAACAATTTAACTTAAATAACAATTACCAACTAAAGTGCTCTGATCCAATCAGGAATCCAAATAGTGAAATATATATGTGAAAACTGGTGAAAATACAGGAGTCTTCCTGTTTCAATACACACTGTAAAAAATGGAAACCCCCTATCAGGGGAAAAACAATCAAATATGGTGATTTGTGCCAACCATAATTAATTAAATACACATACCCACTCTCAAAGACAACCACATATAAGGTTATAAAATATCTCAAATGCAAATCAATCAATCCACAAATAATGTCCAATAAACAGAAAACATATAGCCATGATCTTCAAACACAATTCATGCAGGTGATGAGGTGAATAGGTGATCTCCACACTTGTGAAATATCCTGAAATAGCAGAAATGCCCCCTCACCTCCAAACCGTGACCACAAGGGCCAGCTCGCCTTACTGGATCACCCCACGATCCTTGTAGATATTATCTCGTCACAGGAGAAAGATGCCACATGAAATCCCTACAGCAATACCACTTACTCCTCTCAGGTTCCCTCCAGGCACAGGTACCGCAATACAGCTCACTCCCCACTCAGGATCATATTAGTAAAACAGAAAGAGATCCTCCATGGTGTAGTAACGTTTATTAATCCACAGAACAAATAAAAATGCCAATTGCCCACTCACATTTACTCCATAGGTAAACAGCATCTAAACCTCTTGCTATGTGTGTACTGCATGGGTTTTGTTGGGTGTACCAAAATGGCGCCCACGCCTGGAAGTGCGTCACCACATCTCCAGAAACTCGTCACTGCGTACCAACGAGTTGCGTCATGTTGCCACGTGATTTGATCAGGGTATCTATCAGGATACCCTGATGAAGTCACGTGGCAACGTGACGCAATGCGTTGGTTTTCTTTTAAAACAATTCAAATGAACCTCCAAGCAATACGACTGTTTTTCACTAGGTGCTCCTAACCACTCCTCAAGGATTTAATCTTCTGATAAGTGATCTACTTATCAGAACCTGAGACACAGAAGCCAAGGACTCCAACCAGGTCCGCACACACCGCTGTGATAACAATTTACCTCCCCCAAGGAGCACTCCCCCCCCCCCCCCCCTTGTTTGATTTATATCAAAACAGATTCTCTTGTTACTGGTTCAGTGCTACCACAAAATCAACCAGTTTTTTTTTTAAATCCTGATGGGCTTATAATGCCTCCTAGCACAGATATATATTAAAATGCATATTTGTTTGATACACTGACTTTTTCATCAAAATTTCTAGCTGTCTTACCTATTAAACAGAACAGAGATTCAGAAAAAATTTTGTGTCAAAGAGTTCCTACTGTGTCCTAAACTGTATAGTTATTATTTTAAATTTTGCATTCAAAATCCACTTTTCTCGATTAATTAATGGAAGATTATAGCATTATTTTTTAGGGCAATGATCAATTATGTTGCAACCCACAGAATAAAATGTATTTCTCCATTCTGCCTTACAGATCAGGATTTACTTATGCAGAATTTGAACCAATGGGAGTATTCCAGTTTTTCCCCAATTCAAGGTACATTGTAGTGCAGGAAGACAACCAGACTGTGTCACTCCATATTCAACGCTTGTTTGGTTTCCATGGCAACAACACAAAACTTACTTTCACAACCATATCAGGAAGTGCCAAAGAAAAAGAAGATTTTGTGCCCATTTTAAATGGAGAACTGATTTTTGAGAAAGGTCAAACCTCCTCAGTAATAATTATTTCAATAATTAATGATAAAATATATGAACTAGATGAATTATTTTATGTTAACTTAACATCTGTAGAAAGTACTGATGTCTACCACCAGAGGCCAAGACTACATTTTGATTACAGTCTTTCATCTATAACAATATTGGCAAATGATTTCATGTCTGGGTTGCTAAGCGTTGGGCCTGCCATAACATTTATCAATGAAGATTCAAACAATAGTGCACTAAATTCCGTGACTATCCAAGTAAAGCGGACTCAAGGTTCTAGTGGGATTGTTCATGTCACACTTACTACCTTTGGGTCTCGAAAGGCCAAGAATGGATTGCAGGGACTACCTTTTGAGCAAAGTCACATGTCCAGAAATATTTCTTGGGCAACTGAAGATTTGGACTTTGAAGCACAAGCTATTCTGATTACCATGCTGGATGGCCAGAGTGAAACTCAGGTGTCTATTAAAATTATAGATGACGATGATCCTGAGGGTTTGGAGGTCTTCTATGTCTTCCTCACACATCCTCAAGGAGGAGCTCAGATAATGGATGGCAGGGATGATGCTGGATTTTCAGTTTTTTCAACCATTATTATTCAAGGTACAGTACTTTATTTTAAATATTCCTCATTATACTGTATGTGTTCTCACTTTAATGGTTGTCCCGCTGAGACTTTATTGCCTAATGCATTTGCCACATTTATACAGATGCATATATTCCCTAGGACCTGATGGAATAACCAACAAGTGTCTTTTTGGATTTTGGAAATAAACAGGATCACCCAGAGAAAACCTTTGGTAGCAGGGGAGGGGAGGGAGCATATTCTATAGGTCAAAAAGTTTGTGGATACCTGATCATCACACCACCCTATATGGTCAAAAGTTCATTTGCAGTGAAGTTAATTCAAAAGCATACCAAGACAATTTGGACAATTGTGCACCTCCAACCCTGTGTAAAAACTTAAGGGAGGTCTTTCTGTGTTTCAACATGACTGGCCCCTGGCCCAAAACCAGCATACCAGACAATTTTGACAAGTTTGGGAATTGTTGCAAGTCAGGTCCTCACCCAACCCACAAATGACACACTCCAAAATATTGTTGAACTTAAAGGGGAGGGTGTTATTTCCACAGAAGAGGGGGGAGAGAGGTACCTCTAAATTAATGCCTATGGTTTTGGAATTGGGTATCCAACAAACAAGCTCATATAGAATAGGCAGGTGTCCACAAACTGACTGAGTACACCATGCAAACCAGGTCCATAATAGTCATACGATGAAAGTTTGACAAGTTATTAAAGGTGTGGAGAAAGTCAAGCGGTGAACCCCTGAACACAGAAATTGGGCCTGACCTTAACCAACACCTGCACTGAAAACCACTGCCATGGTTTATAACATGTAAACATTCACAGCCGATTGCCCTAGCTTAATGACTCTCCCAGAGCTAATTGGAGCCAGGAGTGAGCCAACCTTGACTCCAACAGTGTGATGATATTGGATGTGTTGCTGACAGCTGTCCTGCCCTTAAAAAACCCACCTGTTTTGGGTTTACTGCAAGAAGCACTTTTGGTTAAATGGGCTCAAAGACCCACAGACACTTGCATGAAGCTGGAAAAAAAAAGTATCTGAAACTGTCCCAGAAGGAGGGTTGCTACTCTTCCTAGGCATGGTCGTTATTGCCACACAGCGCAGGATGGGGGGGGGGGGTACCTCTAAATACAGAAATCTCTGGCACATGCTATGGTTTTGTTGAATTAAGGAAAACATTAAACAAGAATGGAGTATGGGAGGACACCACGGAGGAAGCCATTGCTGTCATATAGCACGTTTGAAGTTTGCAAAAGAGCACCTGGATATAGTTCCACAGCACTACTGGCAAAAATTTGTGGACAGATGAAACCAAGAGTACACCAACACTAGCGTGTGGAGAAAAAAAGGGCACAGCACACCAACACAAAACATAGTAAAAGTGATGGAAGAATGGTTTGGGGCTGTGCTGAGCCAATGTGTCTATTAAAATGAATATGTTTTGCAACCCATTGTCTGCCAACCTTGGGTGATGCAACAGGACAGTGACCAAAGTACAAGTAATTCAACAAAACAATGGCTGCAAAGCACAGAAATTTCTGGAGTGGCCCATGTCCTGACCTAACCCGATTGAAATGCTGTGGCATGACCTTATTCACACCAGACATCCCAAGAATATGGCTACACTGAAACAGTTTTGTGAAAGGAGTGGTCCAAAAATTTTTAACTCCAGATTTGTGCAGGTCTATATGCAACTACAGGAAACATTTTTTTATTGCTGCCAAATTTTTTTATAAGTGGTCACTGTTCTTAGTGAATGTTTACATGTTATGTGCAATTAAACTGCTAATGTTTGTGTATAAGGGGCTAAGACAGGTGGGTAGAGACTGCAGGGGAGAGGGAGGGTTTGTCAGAATGGATCAGAAAAACAGCGGTACACTGATCTTTTCAGTGAAGTGCAGGGGGGGGGGGGGGGGGATAAGCAGCAGTACACTGATCTTTTCAGTGAAGTGCGGGGGGGGTCAGCACAAGTCTGATCATTAGATTTCAAAGAAGAAAACTGACCACCCTGGGATGGATGTGCTTCCATGCCTAGCATGGTCAGTTTGAAATACAAAAGCAGGAGGAATGGCAGGATCACCATGTATTTCACACAAAAGAGGCAATACAAAGAGAACAGGATACATTTTAATACATGTACACGGTGCAACAATATCAGAAATATGAAATGTTGGGGTAACATACACTAAGTGGCTAAAAGGCTTGTACCATTAAAGCTTGTGGACTGTGTATACAGTTTCTTTAAGCTGATGGCCATCAAGGGTGTAACTGTAGCTATAAAAGACTGTGCAGCTGTTATGAGGCATGGAAGCACAGGGGAGGCTAACACTTTCTGGTTACACGTTGATTTAGGCAGGTAGTAATAGCAAATGCGAAGTAAAGTTGGATAAAGTTAAATTACGTTTATTTGGAAATCCATATTTTATTTCCAAAAAATGCCATTTTTATTTTCTATGGCAAATGAAATTACATTTACAGTGGAGAATAGTGATTTTGCTATTGAACCCTATTGCTCCTGATGGCCAGGTAAAAACATTTAATATCTGGATTGTTTCATAAACAAATTAGCCCTGTGTAGTGGATGTAAGCTCTTGTTTTCATGACTGCCTATCAGCATTCTTTGATTTCTTTTTGCGTGCGTGTATGTGTGCTTTCTGCAGTTCCACAATTTCTTCTACCTTAATTCTTCATTGCCCTTTCAGTTTCTCTGAATCAGGTTTGCCTTTCAGAGGTGAAATTGATAAGGTAGTTGACAATCATGTGTAAATGTAAGGCACCTCTGTAGATGTCCTCTGTAGAGCATACCATGGGAACTGCATTTTGCCCTGCTCATAGCACAGCATACATCTACAGTTGTTGCACTGCTTGCTTCCTGCAATATCCCTTTATTTCATACAGATTAAAGAATCTGTTTATCTCTTTGAAATAACGTGGAAAAATCTACAGAAAACTTTTTTTTTCTTAAAATTTCATATTTCTGTTAAAATTTTTTCATGCTATTATACATAAACAGAAAAAAAGGATAAAACAGGTGGGTGATTCAGGATTAAAACGAGGTAACAAAAAAGGAGGTATCAGTAATCCCCTTGAATGTGAACTATTATAAAATAACACCATTACCCCTGTCAGTCTGTAGTCAGATGTTTCAGCCAGGAGAACGCTGAGAGATCTCTCCACAGCAACAAGCGCCATTCAAGGATAGCAGATTTCCCTTCCTTTTGGAATAAGGGAATCACTATCCTACTCCTACATACAATACCGTATGTTATATAAACCGTAATCTATTTGAACTTGGAATCCCATGTGGACCAAGTATTCATAGTCTGAGCAAAACAGGACAGGGTGTTATCAAAAATAACTTGGTTGCTTATAGCAACAACCTGTGAACCTTGAGCATGCTGGGACTTTTTTGTAAGAACAACAGACTGAGATGGGTAGTGATGTCATTTTATATGATATACAGTATGTACTCATTCCCTCTACTGCTACATATTAAACAGTTCGTACAAAAAAGAGGGTTCCCCTGGGAGGTCTGTCACTGCTACTCCCCCCCCCCCCCCAAATTTAAAAGGGCAGTCCACACTCCAATGAAAGTGTTCTCTGCTAATTACAAAATCCATAAACAAACTTCACATCAAAGAACAACTGTGGGTTACTTGCATCAGGGAAATATGTCCTTTATTACAGCTTTTATTACATGTCCCAGCCCATGCGTGTGCCCTTGAGTTCTCCAAATTTTTTGAATCTTCACATACGCACAAAACAGTAGTTGGTTACCTAGACGTGTAATGGTGGATATGTGGTTTTGCCTTTGCTACAATAAAGATATTCCTAGATAAAAGATCCTTGCACCATTTCTCATTCTTTAGGCAATGCTTTAAAGTGGTATTAACCTTCCCAAAAAAAACAAAACAGTATATTACAGCCTACCAATCATTAAATGTAGTGGCTGCATTTTCTTTTTTTAGGCTTTTTTCCCTTTATTTACACCTGGTGATCCAACCATTATCATATTCTCCACTCCACTGGAGGAGCAAAGGAGACACCTCTGGACTTCAGCATTGTCAATCTGGGGAGAGGGTAGTACTAGATGCTCTAGCAAATTTAGTTAGACTTGACTAACAAATTAAAACCAAACCCTGTCTACAGGGGCAGACTGACAACTCATGGGGCCCCCGGGCAATAGGGGATCATGGGGCCCCTGTATCCTTGCCCAAACTCAAAAAAGCCTATGAAAAAGGTACCAGGGGCATCTCATGGGGCCACCTACTGACTCCGGGCCCTCGGGCAGTGCCCCAGTTTCCAAATGGTCAGTCTGCCCCTGCCTGTCTAACACTTTTAAGCACTTATAGCAACAGCTTTTCTTTTGGGATAAAGGTTATCCTATCTTTTTAAGCTGACCCCACCTCACAGTTCTTAACCACTCAATTATTATTGTTCTTTATTCACCCACTAGTCAGTCAGTTTTTTTTCTTAATGTTTCAGCTTTTAAAAACTGAATGAAGAGTTTGGTATTTTGCTCAATATATTATTTTGATATGTGGCTGAAAAGATGCTTTATTTTGAAGGTAATGATTTACAGAATGGCATATTGGGATTTGCTGTGGAGTCTTTGGACGGTCTAACACTTGATGAAGATTCCATCCAGAGGACTACGCAACTCAAAGTGTTACGACAAGCCAACAGGTTGGGGAAACATACATTGCTAGATATTGCCCTGATTTCTCCCACTTTGGAAATGGCATTCAGAAATCATACCCCAGTGCCTTTTAATCTGAATCCTTCAAGAAGTGCTTTCTTTACAATCCAGCAGTGCAAAAGAATATTGATTCTGCCTCAATATCAACTTTTGTGGCTTGCTTTAATTTACAGTCTCTTTTTTACTAGCAGTGCTAATTTGATTTTTGCTGGTAATATAAATAATTGTAAAAATTGCCTTATGATTTCACCTGAATTTTACAAAAGGTCGATTGTGCTTTTTTGTTGGAGCCCCTAAGGTACAGCTACAATTTATGTGCATGACCAAACATGGGTCTACAAACCCAGTACATTAGTACATTTTCATATACTGAATATTTAACTCTGAGTATTAAATAATACTGTTTGTACATTATTGCAAAACAAGGGAAGATTGTGTCTATGTTTCCAGTATTTGTACTGCATTTTAAAATCTTTGATGACCGATCTTAAGCCAACCATAGATGGATCGAATCTCAATGGGTTGGCTGAGATTCAGTCCACCTATGGCAGACTGGTTGTACTGAAGCTGATACATGGATCGACTTTAGTACAACAAGGCCGTCAGATTTTTTGCATGCGATTACTGTGCTGTGGGAGGGATTCCCCCATCAACAATAACTGTGCTGATGGGGGAATCAAGCTATTTTCTTGCCTTAGTTAGTGCTTAGGTGTAGATCTTAGTCCTTGTTTGCTCTCAGACAAAGGAACAATTGAGCATTTAATCTTCTGACTATTGCATGTATTTTTCTGTTGCTCTACATACTGTACTTGAGGGATCCGCTCACTCCACAGATGTTTATTTTACTGCAGAACACAGCGGAACTTTAAACAGTTGTTGTCTATATAAGCTGTTCAGATCACTGTGCTGCTACAGTGCAGGAAAATTGTTCTATACTGTAAAGCACAGGCTGCCATAGGCAGGGCATGATAACACACAGCAATTTTACAGCATAGCGATGGCTGACCTTTGTTTTTTCTTTTAAATCAAGCTTACCTGGCTTTCAAATAGCCTTAGGTAACAACAGTTTCACTTGCTGCTGTATGCTATGCTGACTCCCAATGTCTACATTTAATAGTTTAGATTTTGCCTAGAGCATTGATGTTGAGTAAAATCACAGATGTTGCTTAAAGTGTTACTAAACCCACAACAGTAAAATCAGTCTGTATATGCAGTAAAGCATGCTTGTTATACTCACTGTGGAACCTAAGGGGTTAATCCTTCACATTATGTAAAAAGGCTGTTTGATCCTGACTTCTCTGATCCTCCCCTACTTCCACAGTCCCCAATCCATCTGCTGATAATACAGAGCCCTAGGAGGCACTCTGCACATGCTCAGTTTAGTGTGTATTGCTAGAGAGGTTTATTTTTCTTTTCTTTTGGGAGGGTGCATGTGATCGGCACAGGGCCAATCAGCACATTCAAGACAGAGGGTCTGGGTCATGCAGCCTCATAGGAATGAAAACTCTTCCTACAAGCTTTAACTAGTGCTCAGCTGGACACTGATAGAAGTCACAAGACTGCTATATACTGCAGATGAGAAAAGGTATTTAGCAGTTTATATTTACTAAAATAATAATCTCTATGTAGTGTGTACTCTGGGAGACTAGATATAGTGAATGCAGGGTCCTGGGTTTAGTAGCACTTTTGGGGGGAGGGGGATGTTTGTTTGTATATTTGTTTTCTAATGAAGAACTTTTTTACGTTGGTGTTCTCTTTTTACTATTTCCAACTTTTTTGTGACTGAGTAACAAGGAGTAATATGTACCCTGTACTCATTCAGGTATTGGAGATGAATATCTGGGGGACCCCTTATTTCAAAGGGGGCTTCCAGATTCCCATAAGTCTCCCTACCCCTACAGACTCTCTTTTCTTTTATGAGAGGCCCTTTCCCCTCCTTGTGTTTTGTAAATTTTTATAGGGATTTCATGTTTTTTTCCCTAATGGTACAGTACACTTTGTTTACAAAAATGTGTACTGTCCCTGCTAAAGGGAAAAGAAAAGAAAAACATAAAATATGGTGAGGTTCTGTTTGCAATTCAGACCATACCCTTTTAAAGGCATGCAGCCTTTGTGGTCATAAAGGACACAAGGCTAATGGTCATTCCTAGATTGTAAGCTCGAAAGAGCAGGGCCCTCAATCCCCTCATGTTTTGCATTGTATTGGTATTGTTCTGTCACATGTTCTGTCCCCCATTGTAATGTACAGCGCTGAGCAAACTATTGGCGCTTTATAAATACTGTATAATAATAATCCCCACATCCTGTGGGGAAGTGGGGGTATGTGGGGAGGTGTATCAAATATTGGAAGCCCCCAGATATCCACCCCCGACTATCTGAATCAGTACACAGTCCCTCTTGTTACTTATTTACTAAAATTTCAATTGGCCTTGAAAAGGCTAGAAAAAAATAACAGGATTTATCTGTCAGAGACTTCAGTGGGGTTTGGGTTTAGCAGATTTTTTCCTGGGTTTGCTGAAACCTCCTTCAAACCAAACATTTGCTCATACCAAGTAATAGCATTAATGTTCCTTGCTGTCAGGTTTTCACATTACTATTTCTTTACATTTGAAAATGTTTTCTTATTCTGAAGATATGATTTAAATCTAGGAGGATCACAAGAACCTCCTTCCCCATCCCCGCTGGTCAGGTATCACTGATACATATTTGCATATTATATAAAGCTGAAGTTCGCCTTTCCCGCATTTCTGCCTGTGACATTTTTCATTTTCTCAATGTTATTTAATTACCTTTCCTGTGCATTGACATTTGCCTGGTAGTTCACTTTAAATCTATCAGGAGCCAATATTTTTCATTTTTCTTCCTTTATGTTGTTATAAAGTAGATGCTAAAAATAATTTCCAGTAACAACAGCAACACTGTTTTTCTTTAAACTCTTATTTATTTTTTTGTGCTTCAGGGCATTTGAAGATGTGAAGATCTACTGGCGTGCAACCTTTAATAAAACTTCAGTTGAACTTTACAGGGGTGAAGTAAGCTTGGTTAATGAACTGCAGGCGGTATCTGGATATACCATCTGTACTGCTGGCCAAACAGTGTGCCTAATTACTGTGGAAATAAAAGACGACAAGGTCAGTGCTGAGAAACTGGTGAAGGCTAATTTCATGGGAGCAAGTGTTCAGCACAACGAGCCTGTATTCCTGGAAATGTTCCTAATTCTCATAGTGGTAAAAGCTACAAGTACCATTCCAAAATAATTGAAGCAAACTCATTTTTTTATAAGTTAACTGATATAATTTAATATTAGTATTTTAATTTCTCCAAACTGTTTTGTCTGCAGTCTGTGATTTCTAAACCCAACTGCACTATACGATCGGGTCTTTCATTTTCTCTGAATACTGAGAAATCTGACCTCCACCTCCACATGCATGCACTTTCTCCAACTACTGTATCTAGTAAAATATTTTAAAGTGTCACTGTACCTTAAGGGTAGTTATGCTTAATTCGTTGTCCCTGACCCCAGCCTCCACTCTTGGTTTTATATTTCCTGTCCCCGATATTGACTGTGTGGCTTCATCTGTGCTGTACAACATTGGAATAAATAGCATTTGGACCACGCATAAATCATGCAAACAATATAAATTTAATAACAATCCATATATAATGAGCGATAGCAGTAAAACATCTATAAACTGATTTTAGCAAACAGTCCCAGTATGTGAAAAATAAAGTGCAAACGTGCTAGATTCTTGATTGTGAACTCCGTATTAAAGTGACAGGTGCTCCACTCTGCTCAAACTGGTGCCCCACATGGATTTGCACTCACCATCATCCCATGACCACCTATCTCTAGGATAGTCACTTGTGCTTTGTTAGGACTAGCCCAATAACAGCGTTATTTTGGTGACGATGTTCCTTCACAAGTACTGCACAGCGTTGCTAATGGTAACTGATATATCTTCACAGGGGCTAATGGTACTGCTAATGGTAACCAGTGATCCTTTCCAGGGGTTAAATTAATGCCAGAAATCCTTTTCTCCTCCACAGGCAGTAATGCAAGTATTCAGCATAAAAATGAAAACAAAAACAGACATTCCATAGCGTAAAACTGTAAACCTTTAATATTGGGGACAAATAGTAAAAATACAACTCACAAAAAAAGTGGCCATGACCTGGCACTAAGTCTATTCAGCTTTGTTGCTTGTGAATGGAAGAAAAAATGGGCACCGCATTCCAGCATGTGTTCCAAAGGGCGAAGTGACGTCAGCGGAAGTTCTGACATCAAATCTCGACGCGTTTCGATCATCTGGCTGATCCTGCCAATCATCTTTCTTCCTTGTTCTAAACAGACCAAACAAAGCACAGATGCTGATCTGTGTTATCATGGTCAGTTTTCATAATTTGGCTGGTCATTCAGAGTTACAGGGTACTGTGCAGACACACAGCATGCCTGTATTAGGTAGTTTGGTCAGCCACCAATCCAACAAAATGCCCCCCCCAAAACAAAAAACACAAAGAAAACAAACCCCCCCCCCTAAAAAAGCAACGGGTTGACTCGATGGACCATGTGGTCTTTTTCTGCTGTCACTTTTCTGTGTTTCTACCAATCATAGCCTGTCTCTGGCCCACACCCCATCCCAATCAGCCTGCCTCTTAAATATGCCCTCTCCTCAAGCACAGCCTGCATCTTGCTTCATGCTGAACAGACTATTGAATACAGGCACACTGTGGTCTGCACAGTGTCCTGTAACCCCACCCTCCTCTATTAGGAAAAAGAGAAATGCATGGTCTAATAACAGAACTTTAACCTTGTAAGAGAGATAGGTAAGAGAGATCATTTCTGAACCTAAGCAAAAGCAGTTATGGTACCTGAATAGTTATAACTGTATTAGAAAATGTATATAATGTATGTTGACAATTAAACTAACTTTTTCCATAGGAATCATGTTGTTACTCTGCAGTGTTATAGATAATCAGGCTCCTTTAGGTGACTGCACATACCTTTCAATGGGGCCCTGTGATGTGAAAATTTCCATTTTAGGAAGTTTAATCTAGGCTTGCCTGTCCAGAAATGTCTGCAGCATGGTTTGAAAAAAATTACCTTTGAGCCAGAGCTTTATATTTACAATCATTCAATTTGCTTTGAATTATCAGAGACCAGTAGGGTCTCTTCTTTCATAAAAATCCTAACTGTCAGCTTTTTTTTCAGGTTCAATTCCACTTTATGCAGTAAATCAGCTTTAAGTGCCCGGTCACACCGGTGCAGTTTTAGGTGCGATTTGCGAATTTATATCGCACCTGAAATCGCATCTAATGAATGTGAAAGTCAGTGTCTTAACGTGTGATTTGCTGTAGCACAATTTCTAAAGAAGTTCTTGCATTACTTTTTCTGCAGTTTTGTTGCGATTTACCATACATAGAATATAATGGGAATCGCACTGCAAATTGCAAGAAATTGTTGAAAATCTTCACAAGTAGCAATAAAGTCTTCAGAAATCGCACTGAAATTGCACACAAATCATGCAAGTTTAAATCTCGGCGGTGTGACCGGTAACTAAAACAAGCCCTCATTGACCTACTTAGATTCCTTTTTAAAGGAGTACTAAATTCACATTCATTACATTAAGCATTATTAAAGAGTGTTAATCACTGACTCAAAACATTATGCTATTAATATTGTTTTTTTTTTTTACTTTTAAAATATGTGCATATTCCTCGGAGGGTGTAAACTTTAACTATGCAGTCTTCCTGTCAGTTGATTGATTCTATTCTATCAAACTTGGTTCTGGAACAATAATCAAACTGATCATCATAGCACAGCAAAGTCTGCACCTTCCAGTCGCCAGCAGGGACAAACATGCTGGTCTAAAGAGTTGCCAGAGATGTGTTTTTTCACTTAGACTCATCACTCCTGGTCACTTATAATCTGTCTGCTCTCATTGCATTTGAAAAGGTGGTTACAAAGGGAAATATTCCCTCCAAGCCACTTGTTAAATGCATTTGCATTACAGATTAGTAGACTGGCAAGCTGGCAAGTCACTGCTTTGAGGGGGGGGGCATGGTGAGGTGAGAAAATAAAATTAAATGTATGCCACTGCTGAAGTAAGATTTATGTTGTTAAATGTAAGGATAAATTACTTCACAGTGCCTGCAGCTACAAAAGTCAGTAAAGGCTTGTTATACAACTCATTTACATGTGTTAAAGGATAAGTAAATATTTTGCCACTCTTCTACATCAGAAATCTCAATACTGTACAGTGGCATGTACCACTATATAGTGAATGGCATGTACCGCTGATGGTAATCCTTCATTGCAGGTGATACTGTATGTAGCAGTCTTTGGGATTTAACTGGAGGTTTGGGAAAAACCCATAAGGTGTCTCCTGGTGCTTCTGTCCCCAGCATGAGGATGCTCTGTGGTAAATAATGTTCTGCACATTTTTGTGAAATTTTCAGAAGAAACATGCTGATTTACTGCAGAGTAGAAGAACAGGTTCTCAGATTCTGGGTTTGCAGGCTGCAGTTCCAATGTTGCATTTGTGAGGGAGTTTAGTAACAAATATGTGCTCTTGGATCTTAGACACAGGAAAGAGAGACATCAGAACCTCTAATGGAAGTAGTATGGCAAATCCTGCCCACGCTATAAACAGCATCATACTGGGACACAGAAAAAGGCATGAGGATGGTACATAACTGACAAAGTTTCAGAAATTTGCCAAATGTTACATTTGCCCTCAAATTAATATATGTTGGTCAATCTGCAAATAAAATGAAAACTGAATACTTGTTTGTGCTACTACAGGTTCCTGAATTCGAGACCTATTTTTTTGTTGAAGTATACGATGTTAGTGCTGGTGCATCAATAAACAGCAGTGTTCGATTTGCCAAAGTAATCATCCTGGAAAGTGACTCTCCTCGCGGTCTGGTATCATTTGCACTGGGGTCTCGAGTGGCTATTGCACATAAAAAGACAACTTTAATCAGCCTTCAAATTTCCCGAAACCCCAACACATCCCAGATCATTTCTGTGGAGTATGTTATAATGGTAAGTTGGATATATATATACACACACATACAGAGGTTAGACAAAAAATGGAAACACTACATGATTTGCAGGTGTGAAAGTGATGAAATGTTTAACATTAAAAGCAGAAGTGATGTACCATTCCTTTGCTTCCGCTGTGTGATGAGACACCTAGCTAACAGGTGGGAAGTCTCACTTTCGTCATTCACTGCATGCAGGGAGGTTGATCAGAACAGCGGAGGGGTGATTACTGGAAACTGATCCCCTGTATTTCTTTAGCAGCTGAAAGTTTATTCTCTCCCTCCCATTGGCTTTCAGCTTCTGCAAAGAGAGCCATACAGGGGATCAGTTCCAGTAATTGCCCCTCATCACTCTCCCTGTGCACCATATGTTTCCCCCTTCTGCCCAAGCCCCCCCCACCCCCACAGTGCTGCCGGCTACCCTCCTTTCCTTCCCACCAGCAGCTGCAGGCACTAAGACAATAGGATGTAGAGTGGGGAAGGTTCGAATAAATATGTCACATTTACCAGCCCTTCCTTTCCTGAATGAACACAATGAGTGATCGGTGCTGATCACACTCTGTGTTCATTCATAAATGAAGTGTAGTCAACTGTGCTTTATTTTAAGGGGGGGCCCTATCAGCTTGGCTGTATGGGGTCTCGTGGTTTCTAACAGCAGCCCTGATGATGACATATACAGTTTCCAGGAAAAACAACTGATAAGCATATGCATGGTCAACTGACTGAAAAAGACATGAGGACATTGAGCAGGATTGTGACTCAGAATAACAAAAATAACTGCTGCAAAAGTGACTGCAGAGCTCAGTCTTTACGGGACTGAGACTGAGCTCTGCAGTCACTTTTCCAGCAGTTGTTGAAACATATGATATATTTTGTACTGATTTTTAAACTAGTAGGGTTTAGATATTCACCATTTGAAGGAGAAACCATTGTAGTATACTAGGAATTAAACTTTGATTTTTTTTTTCTTAAGGAACTAAAACGATCCGAAGTGATTGGCCATACAGTAATTTATCCAGCTGTTGCAGGCCAGGATTTTGTCAGCTCTGAAGGTAGACTCACATTTGAGTCTGGGCAAAGGACTCTTGTACTGGATATTACCCTCACTCCAGAGATTGCCTCACTCAACCCGTACCCAAAGCGTTTCCAAGTCTTACTTGTGAACCCCTCAGGAGGTGCCAAAATAGATCCACTGTATGGAACAGCCAACATTACTATTGTGTCAGACCCCTCATCCCAGTCTACCTGGGGATTACTTGACCAGCTCATTCAACCCTATGATGAGAGCATACTGAGTAGAGTTCTGCAGACTCTTAACAATAAGGCTGGCTCTGAATTCTCACAAGAGCAACTTGGTGCAACGATTGCTATCATGGAAAAGGTATAATCACAATTTCACATTTTTTTTGTTACAGTTAAAATCAATGGATTTTGCTTTTCTTTGTGAAGTTGATATGTATTTTAATAATACAATATTAGTGTTAATATTAATACAATATCAACACTAACACTACATATAGCTATTCAGAATTCCTTGGCCATTTTTTGTACATGGAATGGTCTGTAGGTTTTTAAGCTTATCACTGTAGAAATGTATTTAATTATTCTATGCATTGCTATTCTTTGAGTTATTTATTTATTTCAGGTACTTATATAGAACTGTCAATTTACGCAGCACTTAACACATATATATTGTACATTCACATCAGTCCCTAACCCTCAAGGGTGTACAATCTAAGGTCCCTAACTTACATTCATACATACACATATTAGGGCCATTTAGACAGGATCCAGTTAACCTACCAGCATGTCTTTGGAGTGTGGGAGGAAACCAGAACACCTGGAGCAAACCCACACAAGCACAGAGAGAACATACAAACTCCATGCAGGAGGCGCCATGGTTGGGAATTGAACCCATGACCCATTTCCTGCAAGGCAGACGTGCTAACCACTAAGCCACTGTGCCACCCAGTTGATGCCACCCTGGCCATTGCCCATGACCCCTAACTTCTTTGCTTGCGTTTGTTTATCCTCTTCTACGAAACTTGCAAAGCAATATTAAAAAAGTCTAGAAAAAAAACAAGAAATATAAACGACAAAACAAGTATCATGATTTATTGAATTTGAGCACTCCTGGGGTTTCCTTTTAAGGGTAAAGGCATAGATTGCTCATGGTTAGCCACAGATGGGCATATGTCCTCCCTCGAATAAAGAGCAGGAAAATACCTGTCAATTAACTGTAGCTTTGGTGCAACCCCATGCAGCTCTTATTGTATCCCATGTTACTAATTGACTACAGCAACATATGGTTAACACCTTGTAGTTTGCCCAGGTCACATGGAGATTTCCCTGCAGGTTGAAAAATTTCTCCAAGCTCTTCTTCACCACAGCATCATCACAGCATCATATCTCTCCTTTATGGTGATACCTAATATAAATACACACTAGACTAGGATTGTCCAACCCGCAGCCCATGCGGCCTAACTCAAAATGGTGAACTTTTATAAGTCTTATCTTCCCAAAGAAAAATTTACCACTCTTCACAATCACACCTTATTAATGTCATCCGTTTTCAGCAGCGCCTATATTTGTAAGCAACTATTTTCAAGGATTAAGCATATGATGGACAAAATTAGAAACAATATATCTAATGAGCACCTTGAAAATTGACTGAGAATTGCTACTACATCCATTATTAATATTATACAGGATTTATATAATGACAACAGTTTTCACAGCGCTTTACAAAGTGAGGGCAAATATTGATGTATTAGTTAGTTATCATCAAATACAGTGTCAAATATTGCACTAGTTTCATGTTGCCCTTTTTACCTTTTATAATAAAAAAAAATATTACAAAAAAATTATGTTTATTACTAAGATAGGTGCATTATCTATATCAGTGATTGTTAACTTGTGATCTGCTCGACTTTTTCTACTCATCAGCTATCCTTATTGTTAGTGTATCATTTATGCGCGGCCCAAAACCATTCCTCGTTTTTCAGTGTGGCCCAGGAAAGTCAAAAGGTTGGACACCCCTGCTCAAGACCTAAATTAAGCTTAATCCTCCTGTCAGTTGCTTTCTGTTTCTCAGATCAAATTTAGCTTTAATGGGTAAATCATACATGGCACAGGAAGAACAAACTATAAATATCTGGTTGAAGAGCTGAACTTTCAGACAGTGTAATAATTAGAATACAGGAGAATTAAGAAAAAATGATATTCTCATCTTTTATTATAACACCCCTTCAGGCATAGAACTTTTGATATTGAGATATCTCCAATACCATGGCTAGCTCTGCTTCTCCTGCCCACCATGTAACAATGCTTCATCCTAGCAATATGGTGCACTGGTACTAATCATAATAGCTCAGTACTAATCTAATAGCACAGATACAGAATAAAATATAGGCTATTTATCCATCTTTGCCTATAGTTGTTTCAGGCTTGTTAACTCTCACCATGCTGACTGCTCAATAGAGAAATCAAGGCTTCCGTGATGAGGTGTTTTGGGTAAAAAGTTCAAGTGTGAATCTGAAATAATAACCTAGCAATACAAACATTCCACAGCAATTTCTAACATAACCTACTATCCTCCTCTTCTGATTTTCAGATAGTAAGTGATGGTGGAACTAAGGTTCTAACTGAGGACAGCCGCATTTTATTTTATGACATACTGTGCAGCCTCATTAGCCCAGACCGCTTGGATACACGTGGATATAGTCCATTGATTGAAGTTACTGAGGTGTATGCCTTCTCCCTACTTACCGGTGTGACCTGTGCTCTCCAGGTGTAAGGTAAAGTAATGGTTATCCAAAATGCTGTATTTCTTGCCCATGTGAACTGTGTAGTTGTTTTTTTTTTTGGTCAAACATTTGTTCACTGAGTTTTCATTCAGGCCTTTCAAACTGAAGTACACACTGTTTCTAAAATAAACTTTCATATGCAATCAGAGGTGTACCCTGAAGCTTACGGGCTCCAATGCATAAGTCAACTGGGGCCCCCCCACTACCACCCATCACTTCCACCGTCCTCCAATAAACTCCCACCGTGCACCAAGACCTAAAGGGTTATTTCACATTTTTATTTACATATTGAACGGGTAATTCAAACGATTTTGGAGAAACTGTCCACATTTTGACATACATCTCTAATTCTTTTGAATATCCTGGAGCAGGGGTAGGCAACATTTGAGAGGTGGTTTGCTGAACTGGTTGAAAATTGATCAGTATATAGCCAGCTTTCACACGCAAACATTCAACATGAAAACATAAATGATGCACTGTCATACTGTCTTGTAGTAATTTGTACCATTTGCTCCCCTGGCCTATTTTTTCTAATCTATTGCAGACATGTCCAGAACAGTGATTAGACACGATAACTCCCATATGGTGGCTGCACATTCCATAAATAAAGCCTTCTTCGGCTTTAAATATAAACTCATTAGAATGAAGAAGATTAGGTCAGAAATTCCCATTAGGAAATTATAATGTAATTTCTTGTCTCTGTATTGCTGCTGTTTTCCAATAAAACAAGAAAGGGTTCACCCATGTGTCCAACTTCTAAATACTGCTGCAGATACAGATACAGATAAGAATTACAGCAGAACAATCCCTGCAAAAGAAAAAAGGTCAGAATATGGTGAATACTAATAGTGCTTCATCAACGTTTTCCGTTGCTAATCTGACAAACTACCAATCCTACAGATTTAAAATAAAGTTGCCGCTGATAAGAAGGGGTACATGCAAATGTATAAAAGAGGCTAGACCAAACACGCATAAAGATTAGTGAACAAAGATCAAAAAGTTCAGAGTACCATATCCATGAGCATAGACGATGATCGAATTATGCACATACACAAGTGTGAATCTGCAAATGAAATGTGAGAGAGTTCATGAGAGGGTAAATCTTAGGAATAAACTGTACTTAAATCTATGCATGAAGGTGAAAAAACCTTCTGGGTGTAACTCCCCCCTCCCCCCTAATGCTTACCTGAGCCCAATCGTGATGCAGCCATGTGCATGAGAGCAGCTGCTCTCCCTCTTCATTGGCTCAGACACAGCAGCAGGAGCTAAACTAAAGAAAGACGTGCAAATGCAAGATTATATAGGATATACAGTACTTTAATGGTGAAAAACCTGTGATCTATAGGAGTAGAAAAATAGACTTTCATATAACAGCACCTCTACTCAGTGGTCTCCCAGAGACTTTTTAAAGCATTTTCTGTTTGCTCAGATAGTGATTTGATCCTGAAATATGTAACCTCTTACTGACTGCATAACGCATATATGCATTAGCAGGAATAGGGGCCCATCCACAGCACATATGCTTCCATGGCAGCCTGCGGTTGTATGTTGAGAGCACACTCACTGTGATTTTCAGGCACACTGACCAAACTGTCACTGGTAAGCTCTTGAACATGGCTTCTATTTGGGAATCAGCGGGATGCGTGCCTGATCATGTGACTGCTGTAACAGCCAACCACAGCAGTCACATAATAGAGAGGGCATTGAAGCAGGGTGAAGGAGTTATAAGCAGTGATGGAACTACCATGGTCGCAAAAGTAGTACTTACAACCGGGCCCTGGCATTCCACCTTTGTTGTTCTCAGCGTCCTTTTGCTGTCCTGCCCCTACTATTGATAGCGCCAGTCTGACAGTGTCTCTGTCTCCATGTCAGAAGCTCATTAGGACCCGGTGCCAGTTACATTCTGGGGCTGATTGATGCATGGCCGGGAGGGTTGACACTATTGCTTGTGATCCAGGCGATTCTGCTGATCAGATCTAATATTAAAAATCATAGTGATTTTATTGAGCCCTCACCCTACTGCCATGGAGCACACATGGCTGCTGAACATATTGTTGATATACTACTATATACTGTACTGCATATGTGATTGTACTCTTGATTCTAATAAATACTGTGTTTATGTCCCTTGTATGGAGTTCCCTGGTGTGCTGGAGACATATTTCTTAATTTCTGCCAATGCGGGGGGTCCCCAAAATGGCAGGAAGAGAACATACAGAACAGGTGAAAGGGTTCCGTTGCGGAACCATAATAAAGGGTCCTGCAATGGGATTAAATGGCCCAGAATCAGTGGGAAGGGCTCCAGGTCTGGAGGGAAGGGCCCTAGCCTCAGAGGGAAGGGGCCCAGGATTAGAGGAAAGGGCCACAGGACTGATAGAAAGGGAGGGGATGGTGCCAGGGAGGCCCTTCATGATTTCTTGCCCCGGGGTCCTGAAAGTTCTTGTTATGCCTCTGGTTAAAGGCAGGTCTATAGATGAATATAAGTGAAAAACAAAAAGTGCAAACAATACAAAATCCCCCCATGGCAGGGTCTACACTAAGAACTGCAATAATGCTGATACGCCGCGTGAAACATGGGAATGTATTGTATGCAAAAGACAGGCCACCTAAATTGCAGAATTTGTAAAGCTAGAATGAATTAGCGAAAAAGTCAAGTTGCATAACAAAAGGCCAAAAGCATTAAAGAAGAAGTAGTTGACAATTCAGATTCCTTTCACTCCGAAGCACATACTTTTCACATGGTGCACTGACTTATATGACCAATGATACAAATGTCTTCACTCAGCTTGAGCAAAGCAAAAAAGAAATAATTACAACAGCTAATGCACAGTATATGATCACAGAGGAAATAATGGAACATTATCTACACTCCCCTCTATGCCAAACAGTCACCAAAAAGATATCTAGCAAAGATGTACTATATGTTCATGCTCTTAAAGTGGAATTAAACCCAATTTTGTATTTTTTACCTACAGTTAAGCCAATAATAAGACATACCTGTAGGTACTGTAAATATATCCTAAACGTGCACCGTTTATGAGATACTTACAGTAGAAGTGGTGATGATGTCACCGGGGCATGCACACTGCGCTCTCAATGGATGGCGTGCCGTCCATTGAGAGAGCCATGCTGCAGCAGAAACGTCCGTGTGCATGTCTGGGAGTGGTGACATTTCGGCTTCGCCAATCAGTTGGCTGCAGCTTGCAAACCTGGAAGGAAGACCTGGTGAAGAAGGAAACCTCGGGGAACCGTGACAGTGCTCTGCTGGAGGGCTTCATTTTCAGGTAAGTCTTTCATACATTCTAGCACATTATGCTCTTGACTTGCAGGGAGAAGGTTTTTTAGATTTTTTTTTTACTACCACTTTAAAAGTAACCTCCTGAAGCATTCCTGGCAGTTTTCTTCTTTGTCATGGATTGGCCTGATACATGCTGTCAAGATGACTATCTTGCCAAAGATCCTGTGCTGAAAAGCCAGATTCTTCATTTTATTTGGGCTCATAAGCATCCCAGAGTGTCTAGATCCACTCTGTATACCCATAGACTGCAGGGAGGTCTGGGAGTCCCACATGTTTGTAGATATTATTTGGCAGCTCAAATTTCCCAGTTGTCCATGCTTCATGCCACAACAGATATCCCATTATGGGTACTCTTGGAATTACCCAACTGTGCTCCGCTTTCCTTAACGACATTGCTTTGGCTCCCACATAAGTTGCGCCCCCTGGACCTGAGCCCCATCATGCTTCACAGTCTACGAACCTGTGATTCTGTTAAATATTCGGGTAATTTAATATCACCTTTTCTACCTCTTTTGCTGATTACGCATAATCCTCTATTTTCACCCGGCTTAGACTATCCCCTTCTTTCTCTTGGTGGACCTCCCTTGACCTTGTTACTGTACATAACTTCCTGAACACTCATTTGTTTCCATCTTGGGAGACTCTTCGAGAATCATGAGGGGTTCCACTATGGGAATATTATCGTTATTTGCAATTACGCCACTGGATTATGTCCCTACTTCCACATATCCTTACCGCAAAACGTCCTTTGAACACATTTTTCAACATTCCCCAGGGTCCCCTGGTCTCATTTCTGTAATTTATGCCTCTATTAACAGTAGATTCTCCTGACCGCCCCTGTCCTATGTCTCTCAATGGGAGCGAGATATAGGTTCCTTGATTGCAGCGGAGGATTGGCACAAGGCCTGGAAGATAGTGGTGAAATGTTCTTTCAATACTGTCACTCTTGAGGCAGCCTACAAAGTTCTCCTGCGGTGGTACTGGGTCTCGGCTCAGACTGTTCACTTTAATCTGATTGGTGGAGATAAGTGTTTGAGCAACTGTGGTCTAAGGGGGGACATCCTGAATATCTGGTGGTCGTGCCCCCCAATTGATAGGCTTTTGGTCTAGGGTCCTTGGTTTGCTGCAAACGTTATTTCATATTGTGGTCCATAAGGATGCAAGAGTGGCCCTCCTGCATTGTCCAATTTTGAGTCTGTCCATGTCTCAGCAGAAATTGGCATCCTACCTATTCATTTTGGCCAAACATGCTATAGCTCAAGCCTGGAGAGCACCTTCAGTTGCCTTCCAGGGTGTGAAGACCCGGCCGAATGCTATGATGATCAATGAACAGATGTCTAGCATTCTTCAGGATTCTTATCTGAGATTCCTTAAGGTTTGGGAACCTTGGATACATTATTCGTTGCCATCCTTGTCTCCTACTAGTTATGGCCTCTTGTAGTCATTGCTTGTGCTGGCCCTGGATCCGTGATTCTTCCATTCTTCCTTTCTTTCTCTCTGAATCTTTTCTCCCTTCCTTATTTCTTTCTACTTTCCTATACTTTCTTCTTTTCATTAGTTTGTGCTTCTCACCCATTTGCCCTCAGCTGATACTTCTCAGTAGGGGTTTTTCCTCTTTGTTCTGTTTTGGTAAGATGATGGAATGCTGCTGATATTTCTTGGTTCGGCTTTTTGCCATTCCCCCCTTGGTGCC